CTCTCTCTCTCTCACACACACACACACACACACACATACTATCCCTTCTTGCTCTCTGTCTGTCTGTCTGCTTGTCTACTTGTCTGTTTCTGTCTCTGTCTCTGTCTCTGTCTGTCTCTGTCTCTGTCTCTGTCTCTTTCTCTGTCTCTGTCTCTGTCTCTCTCTCTCTGTCTCTCTCTCTCTTCCCCATCTCTCTCTGATCTCCTTTTACCTTGACCACTCTTGATTGCCAATTCCACTCTCTTTCTCTACCTCTTATCTTTTCCCCCTCCACCACCACGCCCCCCCTCTCTCTCTCTCTCTCTCTCTCTCTCTCTCTCTCTCTCTCTCTCTCTCTCTCTCTCTCTCTCTCTCTCTCTCTCTCTCTGTCACTCTTTCTTTCTCTTACTCTTTTCCCGATCGATTCGTTCTGTCCCACAGCATTAGCTTAATGTCTAGTCAAGGCATTTACTAAAATAACCCGCACTATGACAATGACTATGACAGAGACAACTTATAGACTGGGTTATTTTGGAAGAGTGTGTAGAAAAGTCGATTACATTTTCTTTCCGACAATGTTAAAGAAAATACTGCCCAGATGCTCAGACGCAAAGTGTCAACAGTTCCGGTCCAGGATGACAGGCTATTCTACGATTAATAATGTTAATTAATTAATGATAATAAAAATTATGTTGAACGAAAGCATAGTATTCTTACGCAAAGTTCATCCATTTTGTGCTCCCTTCACCGTCCCCCCTCACACACTCGGTATCTGTCTTTGTCTCTGTCTGTCTGTCTGTCTGTCTGTCTTTCTGTCTGTCTATCTGTCTGTCTGTCTCTTTCTCTCTCTCATTCTCACACTTCTCTCTCTCTGTCTCCCTCTCTCCCTCCCTCCCTCTCACTCTCACTCTTCTCTCTCTGTCTTTTTCGCGGTGTCTGTTTGTCTGTCTGTCTGTCTGTGTGCCTGCCTGCCTGCCTGCCTGTCTGCCTGTCTGTCTGTCTGTCTGTCTGTCTGTCTGTCTGTCTCTGATCTCCGTTTACTTAGACCTCTCCAGATTGTAGTTTCCCCTCTATTTCTCTACCTGTTCTCTCTTCCCCCTCCACTCCCACCCGTCCCACCCCCCCTCTCTCTCTCTCTCTCTCTCTCTCTCTCTCTCTCTCTCCCTCCCTCCGCTTTCTTCTGATTGCTAGTCTCAGCCTTGTTTGAAGAACTATCATGTAATAGTCAGCACTGACTGTTGTGCCATCGGGAACTGCCAGTTCAAAATCACACCTTTGTGCTCGAAAACATAATGCACATCACTTCCTAAACACCTTGCTTACGTCATGCTTTCTTGGTTCGTCGTGATCCTTCGTTTCTCCCTTTTGCTGGCTATCTGTCCATTTCTGGTTCCTTACTGTATCCTTTTATTCCATGCGACTTTCATTTCTTCCCCAAAATCAAAGAAGGACTAATGGGGCAGCAATTTGAAGACAAGAAAGAATAATTATTAAGGACTCTGAGCACATGGTCACTGTTTTTGACCGCTGACTACATCGGATGAAAAGGGACATTAAGATCAATGGTTGTTATGTTGATTGTGCTGTAGGTATGTAGACAATTTCGCACCTGTAAAATAATGATAGTTCGATTTTACATAACAAGGAAACATAGGACTGTGGCAGATCTAGTACATATATGTATCTATTAATTCGTTTAAGTTCATTCAGCATACTCGCTTTCCATCGCCTGATTTGCTAGCCTTGAGTTCGAGAATCACAGCAGCCAGTTTTCTGAGATTGAGGAGTACGTGGATTCTTGCCATCTCTACGAGATAACCTTTTAGAATTAATTATTATAGAGCTTTATGTTAATTTACATTACCCAATTTTTATTACTTTTCCGAACTCTACATTATTATTTTTCTGTCAGACAATAGATTCGACGAAGAGGTAAGTTTCTGTGTTAATTATGTCGATTTTGTTAAATACTAATAGTATCTGTTCTTAACTTAACGGTTTTTTTCTGCTGATATGAATATTGTTCAGTAAAAGCAAACTACCTGGAGACTGAATTTATTTTTCAGAAATTTTTTTATACAAAAAGGAAACACAAAAAGCACTAGGTATTACATTGATGGAGATGACATTTCCACATTCATTGTAAAACAGTAATTCGATGTGATCGACGTTGATTTCAGAAAAGAAGACAAGAAAGGGTAACAGTGCTGTTTAAAAGCTTTAATGATTAAAATGTACAAGTTTTTGAAAGTCCCCCTATTTTTTCTTTTAGTTCATCAACAAAAAGGGAACTCCAGGGCTTCCGGTTTTCTTTCTAGCCCAGAGAAAGTGAATAAATCAATGATAGTTCTTGCACAATTTTGCTATTTTTGGCTTTGCTTTATTTTGCTTGACCGATCTTGTTTGTCCCTAGTCCTGGGGACATGAACAGCCAAGAGTCATTTGCACCAGAGTGTGGTCGTTTTCCAGTCGATTTGTTGATTCACAACGTAATGGGGTGTGCAGGTGGGTCGTTCAAAGGAGAGGGATGGAATTCCTAGACCATGACATCACCGAATATTTATTTCACATCGAAATTCAATTAAAACTACCTTGTGCTTAATGAACTCTGATATTGGCCAACACCAGGACACAAATTTCGATTTTAGAACAGCATGTGCACACTCTATAAACAAGGACACATTGGACTTGTCGTTGGGAGAGGGAAAAGCAACTTTCACAATCGGATGACGCAGCCGGCGGGTGGGCGAAGGGCCAGAAAGGTTGGGACAACTGGAAACATTTTAAGAGTCATAAATTTGTTGCGGAGGCGGGCGTAGGGATGTGGCATCAGAATAGGGCGGGGAATTATGTGAGCTTAGCGATGTCAGGACAATTATGTTCACGGATTTTGGTCTCAGTCTAAAACTAGGTACTGCTCGGTAGGTGGTTGCGGGGAGTCACGTGTTTGATCACGTGCACCCGTCTGTGTTGAATTTCCATGCACAGATTGGAAAATGGATTTTAAAACATGAGTATTGGTTGAAATACTGGAGAAAATAGCGCTCTTAATTTTGTAGAACATTTTTTCTTCTTCGAAGAGTAAAAACATATTCAACGGATCTCTATCAATGACAAAAACAGTGTATCCATGACATATGCTTACAATAAAAAAGAACCTTGATAACGAAGTTGTATCAAAGTCTGTTTTGAACGAGCTCAAATAGTTTATTTTCAAATGAAAGATCGTATCTGGACCACTCAGGTCGATCCGTAGTTTGGCATACTGTTGCTCCGAGTGAGTGGTGCGATGATTATAATCTGTGGCCTCACCTGAATAAACAAAAGGGCATTTACTAATATGAATGGACTTATAACGTTCAAAGTTGAATACTATTTAGAACATATTTATTTTAAGATATATGAAAAATAAAAGATACTAAGTTCGAAGCATTAATTCCATCATGACCTTAGTAGTACACAACGCAAAGCAAGAAAAGAACTGCCGACTTCGAGCAACCACATAATAATTCGAAATATTGGAATACTTTGCCTTAATGTCACCTAGTCGGCGGTAAATGTCACAAAAGAAGAGAAAATGTCTTACCCTTGAAGGTCATTGGCACCACAAACTAATGAAGACCTCTACCGTCTGTGTCACAATACCCTCATTCTGTCAAAATATTTAAACTGAAAACAATGAATCTAAAAAAGAAAAGTATAATCAGTAGTAATGTTGTTAGATGTGGAACATAGTGAAATCACATTTGGTGATAGTACTGCTGTAGCCAAAGCATAAAATTCTAAAGGTGGTCTCTCTCTCTCTCTCTCTTTCTCTCTCTCTTTCTCTCTCTCTCTCTCTCTCTCTCTCTCTCTTTCTCTCTCTCTCTTTTTTTTAATCCCTTCTTTTTATCGATCTATCTATCGCTCTTTTTCTCTTTTTCTCTCTGCCCCTATTTCTCACTCCCTCTCCCTTCTCCTCCCTTCTCTCTCTCTTGTTCTCCTTCTCTCTTCCTCATTCTCTCTCCACTCCCTCCCCCTTTTTCTCGCTCAGTCCTCTCTCTCTCTCTCTCTCTCTCTCTCTCTCTCTCTCTCTCTCTCTCTCTCTCCCTCTCTCTCTCTCTCTCTCTTATATGTGTCTATCTCCTTTGGCGGACATTATTATTTTAATCCCTTCAAAGTTTTGATATAGATGTAACTATCATTAGGCCTGAAAGGCAAGAAAAAGCAATCAGCTTCTCCGAATAAACGAAACAAAAGGTCTTGTACAATGTCATGTAAAGGAACATTTGTTTCTCCACAGGACTGGTTGTGCAAAACTATGATCACCCTCCAGAAATACGCCCAGATGTCCAATTTCGCGTGGATGCTGGTAGAAGGAATCTACCTTCACAACCGGTTGGCAGTCTCTGTCTTCACGTCTTCTGCGCCATTCAAGCTGTTTTACTTCATTGGCTGGGGTGAGTTGAGCGTTATAGAATCTTTGAAATGTGTCACGATGTGGTAGAATCAGACGCTCATTATTTTTTTGGCATATCGATTAATTTGGTATCAGTTTAATGACTGTTCATTTATCTTGCTTTTAATGAAAAAATAAACTTTTATCCTATAAAGATATTTGGACATTTGCAATTAATGGAGGTGGAATCACCTTGTGTCATAGCTATAGTTATAGAGAAAATGACCGCCAAACTTTTATAGCTTCCAAAGCTTGAGGGTCCTTGGAAACAAACAATTTCACAAGTTAATGCCTTTGATCAATGTTTTCCAGTAAAGTCTACAAAGACCTGTGTTTTATATGGCCATAAAACTATTTGTCTGATTTCATTATTGAAGTTTTGAAGAGCGCCTGATTTCACCACGATACCTCACAAATACCCCGCCAGTTCGTCCTTTATTGTGCTCTTCAATGCGTTTGTAGTCTCCAGTGCCTCCGGCGAATAATTGCTTTTATGTTATAATTCCTTTTTCCTAGGCAGTCTCATTAAAAAGTATTAACAATTAACAAAATTGTTTCTCCCTTATTTTGGTACCTGTGCCCTTTATAGTGATATGTGTTCTCTCTGACACATTGTATCAAATAAAACTTGTATTAATACGTTTTCAAAACACGTTCGTCGTTTTAATCTCTCTTATTTTGAGCGTTCTAAAAAGAAGAATTCCATTAGTCGTTGAAAGAATCCATCAATTATGCATGGGACTTTGAAGGCATGTGCCCTTGGCACCGATGTCTTTTGAACGATTTCTTAAGAACGGCATTATTGATTGCACTTTGAAGTCTTTGAGAATTTCTCTTTTCATGAGATTTGTAGGGAACACCATGACCTCACATATACAAGGTATGTGACCCCCTGTAATAGGTTACATTTCTCAAGCTCTCTGAAAGGGGAATTTCAAAACACGGACTGTTCAAAGAAATGTCAGTGTGTCCTTATAAATGCAGTCTTTTACGGACTGAACAAAAAAAAAGTCATGCTTGTATACCCTTCCCCCCAATCCAGCTTATGTAATAAGGTCTTTCTAAGGCAGGTTACTCGTTGTGTTGTATTGTTGTACTTATTTTGTTTAACGGGACCCTCCTGTCAACTGTTTACATGAACGAGAACTGAACAAATGGGGTAAATGCAGAAAAAAGACTTGACTCCATGCCAGAGAGGTTGTAGCGTTTGAGTACTATCACCGATGAGCTGCACGTAGCCCTCACTCCGTTGTTGAAGCAGCTATTGGAGGGCACATCATTTCCTTTCAAATCAATACTTTTTGTGCTAAACAGACATCCTCACTCTACTTAATGGTGACTCTACTTAATGGTGACTCTACTTAATGGTGACTCTACTTAATGGTGACTCTACTTAATGCTGTTAACCTGGTTTCAAAGTACTTCCACTAACTCCTGAGACAAAATCAGGAGAAGAAAATTTGCCGGTAGCGTCTGACTTTTGGTGAAACAATGAACAGACGAATGGAAGTAGACTTTAAAATCTATACAAATGCAGCATTGTTATTGCAGTCACGAATCTGCTATTTCTGAGGTTTCATTCGTGATGAATAGGCTTTTTGATATAATTGTGTCCTGAAACTGTTGAATCATGTTTCGTGCCTAGACGAGCCGATAGCTCAGTTGATAATAAGCTGGTCTATAATACAGATAACTTTTATCAAAATCCTCAAGTGGAGCCTCTTGAATTTGCGTTATCCGAGGGATTGTCTAGATTCTAGATTTACTTGGTGGGTTCGTATTAGAGATATATGTTAAATTCAGATGTTTTAATTTCAAATAACGATATCATTATAAAATAAACTTGAAAATGTATTCACCCAATCACCGAGTGCCACCCACTCGGGCAGCATACCAATTTAAAGCTTAATAAATTCTGCATTATCTAGCACATTAATATTTCATCTATGATGAGACTCGTCCGAGATATGGTCACTCAAAATTAACATTAAAATGGGACTTGGCGAAATTGTTTGAATTCAAATAAACTTAAAATGTGTTCGCGCGCGTATACTGATGTGCATCAACACGAGTGGAATCGACAAGTACTTCGTTTCAGCTGAGTAGAGAGTTTTGTTAATGCAAAAAAAAACCCAATCTCAACTTTATAGCGATAGTTTTAAACAGCCTGGAAAAAGAGCAGTCACAAAACCACAAAAGTTTTAGACTGACCATTAAGTGGGTTCATTAGTAGATTGTTTAGGAGCCATTGGTTTTAGGGTAGAGTATATGCCCTTTGGGCATTAACAGTGTTCAGTTTTGGACGTAATTGTCTCTCATTTCATCCCAAATCGCTCAGAGTTTCTAGGGGCACCACATATCTGTGGGATTCATATCGGGGCTATTTACTGGTGGCCGCTCCACTGTTGGTGTGATGGTTTCACAAGAATTGTCTTGCGGCGTTGGCCCTTCGAAAACGTACTTTGTCGTGCATAAAGATACCTACTTGATTGAGACCGTGACGAAAATAAAGATAAGACGTTCCAGCACTCGCGTGATATGTAGTCTTCTAATCGAAGCCATTCGTTGATTCTCATGAATGGAGTTTTTTTCATTCCAGCTTCATGGCTTCTGTTCCTCACTGACAAATAATCACGTCCAAAATGTAACCAACACAGTCCACGAGCATAAAGCTTTCGTGCTCTACATTAATCCAATGGCTCCTGAACTAAATACAAGTTAACACACTAATGTGGAGTCCTGGTTCAACGTGGTTTGTGAATGCTCCATTTTCTAAAATGTTTGGAAATATCGTTATAAAATTATATTATTCATTACAGAAACAAAAATATTCTCCATTCAGTTGATCTTTCACACTTGCCAAACCTTCCAATGTTGATGCGTGAGGAAACTTTCAAGCCTCTTTGATTTCACACAACTTTGCCAAGTCTGATCTTTTTAAAATCGAATTTGAGTGACTAAATCTCAGGCGACTTTAAATGATATATTGAAGTGTCAGATGATGTAGAATGCATTTAGCTTTAAATTGGTCTGTTGCAAGAGTTGAGAGTTCAAGGTTTCAGCACAAAAATTGGGTGAATACACTTTTAAGTTTCTTTTGAACGCCTCTCTCTCTCTCTCTCTCTCTCTCTCTC